AAAAAAAAAAAAAAAAAAACACATAGTAAAACCAATACCTTCTCAGCTTCGCATCGAAGCTAAAAAATACTAATAGCTTACAAGTTAATTTAATAATATTTTAATTTTTGATGTTATTAATTTAAGAATATTTAACAAAATAAATTTTAAATGTTTATATTACTTAAAAATAAGTCATTATAATTAATTACTAATTAAATAATTACAATTTATTTTTTACACTTACATTTGAATGTGTAAAACTATCCAGTTCATTTTGATCCTAAAAATAATTATACAATTTAATAATAAATTGAAGGCTTTAATTATTTAAGTCTATGCAATAACTGAATTTTTTTCAAAAAATATTAATAAACAATAGGAAAAACATGAATAATTTAATAATATTTTAATTTTTGACATGATTAATTTAACAATATTTAAAAAAATAAATTTTAAATGTTTATATTAATTAAAAATAAGTCAATATAATTAATTCTTAATTAAATAATTATAATTAATTTTTACACTTACATTTGAATGTGTACTATCCAGTTCAATTTGATCCTAAAAATTGTAACTATACACTATTTATAGTGTAACGACACAAATTCGAAGGTGGACCGTTTATGATTATTTTGTTATGTCTACTTATTTATTTTATCGCGCGAAAGAACCTTTTTCTGACACAGCGGTGTCAACCACTCATTATTTTACCGCTGACCGCTAGATAAGGCGATAAAAGAGAAATATAATTAAAATCGAATTGTTATCGTATTGATCCCTTCCAAAAAGACTGGCCGTTATCGTTTTGAAATTGCCGTTAGATCGGTGTTGACTCTTCTCTATTCTTTCTTCTGTCATTGACCGTCCTAGGGTGCACACATTTGTTGTTTTATTGACACTCTTCTTTCAATGATGGAGTAGAGCTGCCAACGGCGAACGGCCAGGTCTTTTCGGCGAAGCATCCAGACCATCGAATGGGTCTCTTCGGAGACCGGGTATCGTTTTCTTTTTTATATTATATTTATGTAATGAGCTATATTTTATTAATTAATTAATTTCATTTTTATTTTATCGTAAATTAACTTAATTTTGTTTATGTGTGGAGAGCACGTGTTTCCCTTTTCTTCTAGCCAACGCTAAGGAGCGAGTGTCCAGACCGCTCCTGGTGTTCTTCATTAATTTCCGATTAACATTAACGGATGTGTTCCAATACCGTCCATGATGTTTGTAATATTATTTGTTTAAATATTTTATTTTATTTGTATTGCCTTTATTTGTAGACATGGTTTTTGATGCATTCGCATTTTTGTCCATGTTTAACTTAATTTTCTTTTTTTAACAATTAAATTAAATTTCCTTATTAATTTCAATTGTAATACTTATTTTATTGCGCGAGTAACTTAATTACTCGCGTGTATTTTATCCCTATTCCTTAATCTAGACACGGGCTACGGTATGTTTTACATATCAACCACATACAACTTTGATTGTCATATTTGTGTTTAATAAACCATGAGGTATTATAGTAATTTATACATATAACAACATATTAACGTAGATTATACTTTTAATTAACTTAAAATTAAATTCCACCTATGGTCCGGTAATCATATCTGATAGATGTGACACCTCGCCTAGGTGGTGGCGACCCTTGCTACTCTAGCTAGTCGTTATGCAAGTGGCAAACCACGTGGTTGTTACAGGCCATTGTAAGAACATTTATTACTATGTTCTTACCACTTTTATTACACACGTTTTAATTATATTTATTTAATTCGTAATACATATTAATTAGCATAGAGGGAGATGCTGATGTGACAATTCTACTCGTCTGTAGTCCGGAGCTACTGACGTCGAACTAACAAAGGGCAGTTGTGTTTGAGTGGCCGTTATAGTCATAATTTTCAATATTATTACTTTCGTCTTATTTATATTATTTATAACTTTACTTGTTTTATTCAACGACCCGTCTATCGCCAATTGTCATCATAGCCAACCAACTCCGTCTCACTTGGATATACCTACTAACCAACTGTACTAGGATTCAGGTCAGACGTATTGTACATTACATATAACTTATATTTACTGAACATCTAAATATAACCTTACTTTGTCGTTGACATAAAACAATAGTCTAATTTTATTTAATAATCTATCCCCTGTAACTAAGGTACACGATTGCCTGTGTCTCCTTCAGGCAATTAAAACTCATTTAAGGAGATAGGGACGATATTTGAGTAGACGTCGGGTAGCTTCCGATTCTTGGTTTTGACCAAGATCCTCAACTATTAAACAAGCCCCTAACACCATTATATAAAAATCCCACTTGCAGAATGGCGACCCTAGCCAGGATAAGACATAAATGTCTTTACTTACTTTTTCTAACAATAAACCTTTTTATTTAACGTAAAAATAATTTAATCAGTACGTTATTTGACTTATGGTTTGGGGGGTATAAATGTTTGACGCCAGGACATTGGTCACATGCCTTGGAAATGTTTTATTCTCTTATCGTAGTTACAATAATTGTACTAATTTTATTTATTATATTCAATTTTTATTTTTACTTCGTTATATTATAAATATATACTGTCTCATTAAATTTTCATTACGAGCTCATAACATAAGTGTAGTATTTTGGTCTTTAGAACATGTTATTTGCCTCGCCTTTGTTTTTATTTTGTTTTATTGAAGTTTGTAGCCGTACGGTCTTTTTTGTGTATTTGTATGTATTATTTTTTGTGGTGGTGGTTCGAGTGACCTTGTAGCTGTCAGCGAGTTTTTTCCGAGTCACATGGGTTATGCGTTACGCCGCTGGATTTAAACATTACAACAATGCATGGAAGACGCCTGTTTTATGTGTCCACATCGAAGACCTCATTGAAGTCTTAGATTTTAAGAATTAGATTAAGAAAAATATTTATTTAAGATATTTATTATTCTCTCATAGGGTATGTTCCCTTTGCAGGATTTTTTTTTTATATTTTCCCCAAAATCTCTCCTAGGTCAGTCACATTTTATTATAAGTCATATAAATTATTTTCATATGCAATTTTTTTTTTAATACAAAGTTGTGCTTTTCTTAACTTCACTTGAATTCTTACTTTATTTCATGTTATTGTACGGTTTAGTACGAAGTCCATTCCCGCTTGCCGTTATAATTTAACTTAACTTGATTATTTTGTTTTACTTTTTGTTAGTGTGCGGTTTAGTGCGATGTCTATTCCGGCTTTCAGTTATCACTTAACTTATATTTTAGTTGTGACTGATTGGTATAGTGCGATGTCTATTCCGGCTTACCACAGTTTTTTTAACTTATCAATCGTTATCGATTTATTATATAATGTAATGTAAACTATTAACTTAATCTGTACAGCAAATATGAGTTTGTTTTATATTTCACTGTTCGGACAGTTTAACTTATATTTTATTCAAGTACATTAGCATTTTAATTTTAAGCACAATCTTTCCTCTTGACCAACAAATTAAAGTCATCTATGTAAAATTTCGCTGAGTAATTATCCGACTGTCTGTCGACTTATTTCGGTTCAATTTTTTTTTTTTTTAATCTTCATTTGATTTGATATGACTAGTCCTGATTTAATTTCTTTTTCACTTTTGAACAAGTAATGAACTGACCTATTTTTAATTTTATTATTTTATTTTTCTCATTTAACTTAATGTTAAATTTTATAAAATCAATATTCTTGCAATATGTATAAGCTCATACATAAACTGATTTTAAAATTATAACGATACCCCTATGCTTCAGTCGTTGGACTGGCCAAGCCAATATAATTTTGTTTTAGACTTATATATTTTTTTGCATTTCTCTCTGGTGAAAAATTTGAACATTTGAATTTTATCACGAGTTCAGCACAAATTTTTTTACAAAAAAAATATATTTACAAGCTTAAATTTCCAGCTTGAAAGCTGATAAACATTTTGCCGGATAAATCCGAAGACTTTATTTAATCACATCGTTGTGATCACACTATTTTTACCGACAGTATACATACTGACTTTTTATTTTATGTTATACTCATAGTGCGGTATATGAGGTAAAATTAACTTAAATTTCAAATTCAATCAGATTATCGGATATTAATTAACTTACCAATATTAACGAAATATTATTGAAGGTTGTAATCATAATTTTATTATTCAGCTGAATTTGATTGTTTTTGTTATTGACATAATATTTTTTATTAATATTTAAACCGTCCGTAATATTTTTCTATTTGCTACTAGTGCGATTAGTAGTTTAACGTACCTTAATTATTTTATTGTTTAACAGTACAATTAATTATTTTAATATCTAATTCGTTTGTGCGACAAACATTAACATACACGTCTACCGAAAACCGGATTTCATTTTTATTGTTGTCTTGAGTTTTTTTGTCTTGTTGTTATAATTGATATTTGACAAAATTTCACGTCTTAGTGTTTAATTTTGTTATAAATTTCATTTTTACTTAAGCAGTCTAGCTATTGTGTTTGATTTTTTTTGTAATTTTGTTTAAAGTGTTTACACTAAAATTCTGTTTGTTTTTCGATCCCATAGTGAGGATTAATCAAATTATTCATAATTTGACCTAACTAAACGCATCTGTTGTTTGTTTTTATTTTTTTTCTTTATAAAATTTTCTTATTTTTTTTGACGGTACGATAAGCCTTACTGTTGATAATCGCTTATCTGTCATTATACATTTTTCTTTTGATCTATGACTGAAGGCGTTGGAAAAAGAAAAACCAAGTTACCTGATCGTTTTGGATTTGAAAGATCTAGTTTTAATAACGAGAAAATTTTATCTAAAACACAGGATTTTTCATCAAATTGTATCATGGCTGAAACAAAATACCATCTAATTCTGAACTTTATACATTCATTTTAGACATGCGAAAAGATATTAATAATCTTAATAATTCTCAAAATAAACTGTCAGAGCAAATGGATATTTTATTGAAAGGCATTAATGAACTTAAGTCCCAATGTGAAGAGAATAACCGTCTTATAAGCACTAAAATCGAGTCTGTTAGTTTTGAATGTGACAAGCGGTCAGTATCTACTGATAATCGATTTACTGGACTATATCAATTTCTAGCTGATACAAAGGACTCTGATTTAAATATTGACACATGTATAGTAGAATTAAAAAATCATCAATCAGCATCCGATATTGTTGTTACCGAATTACGTACCCGAAATGAAGAACTTACTAACAAAGTTGAACACCACTGTAATGAAATACAAGATATTTGCAAATTATCCGTACTTGACGTTCAAAAACAACCACCGAAACCGACCGTTGCTTTTACAACATTTGATCCTGAACTAACATCTAAGAAAGTTCAACCAACACTCGTTCCATGCACGCCTGACATCAGTCGGTTATCTATATCTATGTTACCTGAAAAATTTCATCAAGTTGTTCCAGCATTTACCGGTTTTATTAATGAAGTACATCCTGAATTATTTTTAAATGAAGTTGACATATATTTTTCTAATATTCAAGCTACTGAAAAGCAAAAAATTAGTTGTGTTCAACGTTGTCTTGTTAAAGTCGCTCGAGTTTGGATTGACGCTTTATTACCACCTCCTTCTACTTATAATGAATTTAAAGATTTATTTCGTCGGCAATTTTGGTCTGAAACTATACAAAATCGCGTTCATGATGAAATTTTACAACCATATCGTTATACATCCAGCTCTGGCTTATCTACTCAAGCCATGTAGTGGATTACAAAAGCTCGTTTTTTAACACCACCTACACCTGCTGAACGTTTAGTCCATGTCATATGTCAACATTACAATGATCATATTTGTACTGCTTTAATCGGCCGTAGTCCAAAAACTACATCTAAATTACTTTCTGTATTGTCTGAGATATAAAACACACAATCGTTTCACTTGAATTCAAATAATACGAATGACTTTCGTTCACCATCGTTGAATAATAATAGTCGTGAGCGAAATAAAAATTCTCATACTAATAATCGCAGAGGATATAATCAAAGAAACTATCAAAATCGAAACTTCAATAATTGTCCAAATCAACCAACTACATCTTTTTCGGGAAACGAAAGAGAACGACCAGTAATTTTGACGGCTAGTCGTTCTCTCCACCCCATTGTCGATACAATTTCCACTTCGAATGGGGATTCTTCTTTTTCTTCTATTTCCAATAATCAGTCTCCACACAGATTGACATAAAATTATTTAATACAAACTATACATACAGTACTGTTAGATTCTGGTTCTACATGTTCTGCTATATCTGAAGAAGTTTTTATAATTCTTAGTCGTGAAGTTACCGACGCTAAATTATTACCTATATTACCCATTACTGGAGTTACCGTCTCAACAGCTGTTAATGGAAAGAACAAGAAGGTCCACAATCAAGTTTTATTGTCTTTTGCTATAAAAAATTATCTCTTTGATTGTATTTGTCTTGTTGTCCCCCAATTGTCTGTACCTATTATCTTCGGCGAAGATTTTTTGTGCAAATATTCTGTTGTTTTAGATTATCATCATCATATAATTAAATTCATGTCATTGGACATTGAATTACCATTTAAATCTTCTGTTTTACTCAATAAGAATAAGTCNTATCATTGGACATTGAAATACCATTTAAATCTTCTGTTTCACTCAATAAGAATAAGTCTAATTTGTCTTCAATAAAATTACATGTTTTACCACCTTCTATATATTTTTCTGAGTCTGAACAAATTGACTCTGCAATTCAGACAATGTCACATTTTACACCATCTAATCCAGGAAATCTAAATATTGTTGATGCTCTATCACATAGTCCTATTGGTAGGGATGATATGATTGTAAAACCGTCTTATGACTTTTAAAATTCAAGNCTATGCCCCGTCTTATGACTTTTAAAATTCAAGTGCCAGCTCAACTTCCTGACAACATTACAAATATGTTACACTCCATTGGAATTGACCAGAGAGCTGATTCTAAACTATTGAACGTTATAAAGAAATTATCGATGACACCAGTTCCAGTTATATTGTCAAATTTTTATATTATTTATAATGATATTTTATTTCGCCGTCGATCACACTCAAGTGACGATTGGTTAATTTGTTTGCCATCTAAATGTGTTTTATCTACTGTTTTATCTATCCATGAGATGTACGGTCACGTCGGATCAAAGAAATGTATAAGTGCCCTCAAAGAATTCTGTATTTTTTCAAATATGGACCGTAAAGTCCGTCATATATTGTCTTCATGTGATATATGTCAACGTACTAAACATCAAACTAAAAGAAATGAAGGTCTTATGCAAAGTATAATTGCCGAGTTTCCTCTTCAACGTGTTCTTGTCGATTTATACGGTCCTCTACCTATTGGTTGGAATGGCGTATCTTACATATTTGTTGTTCTGGATAATTTTACACGTTTTGTTCGACTATATCCTTTGAAGAAAGCTACCGCNTGTTCTGGATAATTTTACACGTTTTGTTCGACTGTATCCTTTGAAGAAAGCTACCGCGTTAGCTATGATCAATCGAATAACTAATGATTACATTGCCACTCATGGAAAGCCGCAGGTTGTAGTGTCTGATCACGCAAAACAATTTGGCAATCACGTTTGATTGAGTTAGGCATTTCACCAACCCACACAAGTGTGGGTTACCATCCACAATCGAATCCATTAGAAAGAGTTATGCGTGAGTTGGGTCGATTTTTTAGAACATATTGTCATGAATATCATTCTAATTGGCCACGATATGTCCCCTGTATTGAATGGGTAATTAACAATACTCTTCACGAAGCTACTGGATTTACACCAAACGAATTGTTTTGCCGTGATATAAAATCATCTCCTATAAAGAAAATAATACAGTTTCCTCCAGGTTCAGACTTATCCAAAGAACAGAAATATATAATGGCCCGTNTTCTCCAGGTTCAGACTTATTCAGAGAACAGAAATATATAATGGTCCGTGAAATGCAACTGTCCAAATCATAATTTCATATGATTTCATAAATGTATATTTGATTCATTTATTTTGTTTTATTCTCTTTATTCTATTTTAATTTTGCTTTTCATGTTTTGAAAAACATGAACAACTTGAAGGTTGTGGTCCACTTTGATTGTTTGTTTTCTCTTTTTGAAAAGATTTGTCACGTTGTTTCAAACCTTCTCAAGGGGGGTTTCTGTAACGTCACAAATTCGAAGGTGGACCGTTTATAATTTTTTTGTTATGTCTACTTATTTATTTTATCGCGTGAAAGAACCTTTTTCTGACACAGCGGTGTCAACCACTCATTATTTTACCGCTGACCGCTAGATAAGGCGATAAAAGAGAAATATAATTAAAATCGAATTGTTATCGTATTGATCCCTTCCAAAAAGACTGGCCGTTATCGTTTTGAAATTGCCGTTAGATCGGTGTTGACTCTTCTCTATTCTTTCTTCTGTCATTGACCGTGCTAGGGTGCACACATTTGTTGTTTTATTGACATATTTTTCAATGATGGAGTAGAGCCGCCAACGGCAAACGGCCAGGTCTTTTCGGCGAAGCATCCAGACCATCGGATGGGTCTCTTCGGAGNGAAAATGTTCATACCATTATATACCATATCCATTATGCCAACACGTAATGTTTAATATTTATTTATTACTAATCATACGCCTCTTAAGCTTATGAATCATAGTATGAAAATTTGGGAAATGATATTAGATAAGAGAATAAGAAATGAGACATAGGTATCTAAAAACCAGTTTCGATTTATGCCTGGTAAGTCGAAAATGGAGCCATTATTTTGTGTAAGTCAACTAATTAAAAAGTATAGGGTAAAGAAGAAAAAGTAAAATATTAGATTAAAGTTTTAGTGCACTAATAGAAATTCGTATTTTTGAATTTTATTTTTTATCAGCTTAAAAATCTTACACTAATCGTACATCGTCTAATTTAATATCATTTTAAATCATTAATTGTTAGTGTGATGTTTTTAATTATATTGGCTTTACTGTACGTAGTAAATAGCTGAAAAGACATCAAATATCTTCCATATTAATATAGTATAAGATTTTTAACACTGTAATAAGCAATTTTAAATTAATAAGTTAAAGAATAATGTCATATTAAGAAAAAATGCAGGATAAGCAAGTTAACAAGAAATATATAGAGAAACAAGTAAAGTAAAGGGTGATTGGCGGTATACCCAACGGCAGAAATCGAGAAGAACCAAAACAACGAACTTGGCATTTAAAGGTTAATTAATTTGTGTACTTTTTGTGTATCTATGTCATGGTGTTACCTACGTACAACATGTATTTTATATTAATTTTATCATAGTGTCCCAACTAGAATGAGACACGGTAACGTGTTTGGAGTGGGTGTAGTTGTAATGTGAAATGAAAATAAAAGATTATGGCACAATATATATATTTACAACTGTTCTTAAATTTAGAAATACAATTATTTATAATTGATACATTAATTGTCTTAAGGTAAAATTACTTATAAGTGGTAACACAATATATTTATACAACGGTTCGAACGCGATTGATTGTTGCTTATTCGTTGTTTAATACTAATTATTCCTTAACCCCACTATATTAATATAATAAATATACGGGTTCGTAACAATAAAATTTATGATTACAATAAAATTTTCTTATGAAAAATCTGTAGCTGTTAAGTCGGTAGTATTTTTTATTTAATTTTTCGTAATCTTTTTTATAATGAAAGGAAAAAAGATAAAAAAAATAAATATAACTTTAATAACGCGTATAAAAGTAAAATTTTTTCAACTTAAATTTTAAAAAAGTTTAAAAACTTTTTTGCAAAAATTTTTATAAAATTAATGTAAACTGCATTGGTGTATTAAGAAAGGAGTCAATGTTTGCCAATCCCTTTAAATTTTTATTACAAATTATTTATTTTGACTATAAACTATTGGGACCTCATTTCTTTCCTCTTAAAAAAGATTTATATCTTGAAATTAAAAGGTATCTTATAATATACGTAATTAATTTTTATGTTATTAGGTAAAAAAAAATATTATATGTATATCGTTTGCACAACTTAGCCTACAAATAATTCATATATTCTAAAATATCACTCACATGGTATTGAAATGTTGAGTCTTCGTTGTTTAATGGTATTGATAAGTCGGATGGAAGCCTTGAATATGAGTTAGATGAAAAAAGCTGTAACATACCAAATTTAGTCTATATTATTAGTATTTTATTTTTATAGTTAAATATTTATCTATATTTTTTAGTAAATTGTGGTTTTTGAAATATAGATGAATTCAAAAATGAAATATGACATTAAAAACACCGTATTTGGTTTGGGTACACCTAATGCTAAAATATTTGTGGTTTATTCAACAATTTTTTTTAATTACAGGGAAAACCATAGAGAACATAGTTTTTTATCAAAAAAAACTTTAGATTTTTTTAAACTATTTAATCTGAATACTATCATACTAAAATAAAATATTAAACTTTTAGGATTTTTTTTTTAAACGAATAAGCGTTTTCCGAAAAATAAAATGAAAATTAATAAGTAAAAATAAATAAAATCAGTTATAACGTAAGACTTTTATATGATTTTTACTGTTTGTAGTGTTTTTGTGGGCTATTTATTAAAAAAACAACATTATAAGTTATTATTTTTAAATTTCTTATAAAATTTTCTTTATTTGAGTTTTATTTTCATAATTCAAAGTTGGGACATTGATGAGTTATTTTTATTAAATTTTTCTCTTCAACTCAACTTAATAGGCCCGGGGTACGGGTTAACCTTTATGGATCGGTCCCAAATTTTGTACAGCTCATTTTTTTGACCATTAAAAAAAAATTAAGGAGTAGCTAAAAAATAAAAAAGACATTAGATTTTTGTTGGTCACCCTAGTGGGGACATTACTGTTTAAATGAATAACAATTTATTTGCATAAAAACATAGTATTATATTCAGTATTTTTTTTATGGAATATATTATTCGTAAGAATACAAATAAATATTACAAAATAATGGTCCATTGTTTTAAACAAATTTCCTTGTATAAACTACATACGATGGGGTGTTCATGTGTTGGATACAACATGGTTTTGTAACACAGCTTAAATTGTACAGCTGTGAACAATCCAAATCCTCCACGTTGACTACACGTTTTTCTAGTATGTATTTTTCCACTACTTGCTCTTTCACAACTCGTTTCACGTAAATGGAAACCCATCGCAACAGTTTCATGATTTTCGGCAGCTCATCATATTCGACGTCACCGCAATGAATATCCATTCCATGTAAGTATTTTTTCAACCAAAAGTTTGTTTTAGCATCGTCCTTAATACTTTTTAATTTAAAATTTAATATTAATTTAATAAGGTATTAAATATCTAATGAGAGAAAGATGTACAATCTATGGCAATGACAGTTAATTCCTTGACCATAAACGATCGGTTAGGTACCATAATACCTTGTATATTGACAATCATTCAGGTGAGATATTGGTTTTCTTTATCCATTAATTGTGCTCTAGACCAAATCCTAACCATTTAACGTAGCTTTTGTCTCCTCATGTTCGGAACACTCGTTTGACTAAATATATATCCGGATAACTGGTCTTGTTCAACTCTACGGTGTAAAACAAGCCGCGTATTGGAATTTACTCATAATCTACCAAATGGTACGTTGGCGATACTATGTGTTCAACTTCACTATGGTAAACAATTCCGTGCTCCAGTTTAGCAAGCAACCTTTGTCAAACACTGATTAATGCACTTTTATAACACCCTATCGCTAACGTGAAACTTGACCGATACATTATCAGGTATTTTGCGTTTTTATTCTATGTTTAATAAAAAAAAACTAGTAGTTTTGACTGGAAAAATCACGCATATGAAATTTTAGGCAAAGTATTTATTCCTAGAAATGGTCTGTTTGTAGCCAATTTCACCAATTTGGAGAAGTAATATACACACTGAAATTTATTTTTAAATATTAATTTTTAAATGAAAAAAAATCAAAAATGTTTAAACATACTTTTATGTGTGAAAATTGCTGAAGATAATTTTCATAATGTTTCCTAGACATTTAAATGTAGTCCGATAAATCACAAGCTTCGTAATGTAAAAAGTCACCACCGTCGCCGTTGACGTTATCGCCTAAACGTTCCACAAAATTTGCAAATCTCAATAATTTATCCAATATATCATTGAAATAATCCATCTTATGTGCATGGTCGAATAAATACTGACAACCGATTAGTAATCAGCATACAATGTTGTTGCTGCTGCTGCCAAACCCTACTACCGGTTGGTGACTACGACTACTTGTCTGACAGATCGCGCTACGCCGGGTGACGCGAAACGATGTGGCAAAGGGACACACTTATTTTAACTTCCTGACGAAAATTAGAGTGACATTTTTGCGCCCTCTATATACTATTTAATATAAATAACTCAAATTATTCAATATTAAAAAAAATTAATATTTAACCGCCGTGTTCTTATTATTTTATCAAAAACGTACCTTAAACAACATCAAAACGGATATTTTGTAAATTTTACTTATTTTCTTAATTATAATTAAAATACTACACAATACAGAAAAATTAAAAAATATTTTTTTTAGTAAATAACATATTCTTAAAAATTGTTCAGTAAATTTTTCTATTAATGCCTAACTTAACGATTTATATTAGAAAAACTGAATTTCAGCATTCATCTACAAATATTCAACAACTTAGAGGTATCGAAATTGAAATATGTTAAATAAAATATCGATATGCGATAGAAAATAAAATCAGTAAAATGGAATATAGATAATAAAAATCGAAATCCAAATTTTTCAATTGAATTATCGATAATCGAAATCGAAAATTGATACGTGGCAATATCATTTCTAAAGAATCCTAAAATGATTAAATTTTTGTTTTGTAATATTATGTCCTACGTTTAATATGATATTCATACGTAATTTAATTTATAATTATGATTAAATACTATAGTTTATTGAAGTTTTTTTAAATAAAACTTTATTCAAAAAATTTATTTCAATGCTTTAAATCAAATGTTTTAATTAGTAATTTCAATTAAAAACTACGAACTTTTATTGTGATATTATAATTTTTTTCCCGTAAAATATATGGAAAATAATTTCATATAGCCTATAAGTCTAGATGATAATAAAATTTTCGATAATAAGTCTTAGATGATATTATTGTCTAGTATAAATTAAATTTATATTTATTTACCTTCGAGAACCAATTACCTCCGGGTATGGCTGTTATAAGTATAATATTGTGTGNTTTAACACAACTTAAATTGTACAGCTGTGAACAATCCAAATCCTCCATGTTGACTACACGTTTTTCTAGTATGTATTTTCCACTACTTGCTCTTTCACAACTCGTTTCACGTAAATGGACACCCATCGCAACAGTTTCACGATTTTCGGCAGCTCATCATATTCGACATCACCGCAATGATTATCCATTCCATGTAAGTATTTTTTCAACCAAAAGTTTGTTTTAGCATTGTCCTTAATACTTTTTAGGTATTTGAAACGTATTTTTAAAACTTTTATCACTTTTATTTGCATAAAAACATAGTATTATATTCCGTATTTTTTTTACATTACATCAAATAAATGTTATAACATACGATGTTCATGTGTTGGATACAACATGGTTTTGTAACACAACTTATGGAATATATTTATTGTACGTATACAAATGAATATTACAAAATAATTGTTCTTTTTTCTTTTTTTCAATAATGTTTAATAAAATATTTATAACATGTTATAAATATTTTTTTAGTAATTAACATATTCTTGAAAAATAGTTTAGTAAATTTTTCTATTAATGCTAAAAAATTACGCTAGTGATAGTAAATAATATTATATTTATATGGATCTTAGTACATATAGGTTAGCTAAGATAAAATAAAGTATGAAAAATTTTAACCAATGTCGTTATCGGTATCGAAATTGAAATATCTAAAATAAAATATCGATATGCGATAGAAAATAGAAATCGGTAAAGTGGAATATACATAATATAAATCGAAATCAAAATTATTCAATTGAATTATCGATAATCGAAATCGAAAATTGATACGTGGCAATATCATTTCTAAAAAATCCTAAAATGATTAAATTTTTGTTTTGTAATATTATGTCCTACGTTTAATATGATATTCATACGTAATTTAATTTATAATTATGATTAAATACTATAGTTTATTGAAGTTTTTTTAAATAAAACTTTATTCAAAAAATTTATTTCAATGCTTTAAATCAAATGTTTTAATTAGTAATTTCAATTAAAAACTACGAACTTTTATTGTGATATTATAATTTTTTTCCCGTAAAATATATGGAAAATAATTTCATATAGCCTATAAGTCTAGATGATAATAAAATTTTCGATAATAAGTCTTAGATGATATTATTGTCTAGTATAAATTAAATTTATATTTATTTACCTTCGAGAACCAATTACCTCCGGGTATGGCTGTTATAAGTATAATATTGTGTGATAACCATAAAATTCCGAAAATATTTAATAAAAACATCTTATAAAATCAACTAAAATCACTCAAACCACGAAAAATTTTAAAATATATTTTATGGCTGAAATTTTCATTTAAATATATGTATTAGAATTACATTTCTACTTAAAATTTGGCTCTATTATTTTGTTATGTAAACATTAAACGAAATGTACAAAAATAAAATGCAAACATTTACTGCTATAAAAAAGAATATACTTGTATATATTTAGTTAATAATTTTTTAAATATTAGACAATATACATTTATAAATATATCTTGTCTATGTTACTCTTTGAAATTATACAATAAAATATGTATACATTTAGACATTAAACAACTTATATTTTGATCAAAAAGAACAATAAACCTTGTTTAGTAAAATGTATGATAAAATTTCAGTACGATACAATGAAAAACTGTAACATAGTGAAGATTTGAGAGTGATTAAAGTTGAACGAATTGCGGCAACAACCCAATAAATCAACTTTTTTTCAAAAACCTCTTTTTAGTAAAAAATTTTAAAGGAAATTATTCTTGATAATTAGGGGCAAAAATAAATTTACCTTGTTTTGTTATTTGGTGCAACAACAAGATTAGTCCAGATTTATCTTGTTATTACAGCAATATGTAAAAGAAATCCTATGATATAATGATAATAATATATGAATAACTATTTGACCAAATAATTATTTTTTATCTGAAAATGTATTTGAGTTTTTTTATAAGTGTTTAACTAATAGTTATAAAAACTAATAGTTTAATATTATTTCAAATATAATATTTAATTTTTATTGTTATATATTATTCATATAAAATTGTATATTGGGGCAATTGAAAATTTTTTTTCCGTAATATTTTTTTCTGTGGCTGCTATATCCTCATAGAAATAATTATTTTATTTTTATTATAAAATAAAGTTATTGTTATGTTGATTAGATTATTATTTTATTGGTGAAATATAAGATAATTGAAGGCACAAAATCTGAATGGCTATTATATTACAAATTTAGAAAATAAAAACGGTAGCACAGTGGGATCGCGGCACAGTGTTAGTGTGGCATAGTCTCAACTACAAATGTGAACTACATGATATTACAAAATTAGAAATTAAACAATTTTAGACAATTTTTATTAAAATAAAGTTATTATTATATTTTCCGGTGTCATTTAATAATTATATAAAATCAATCTTCTATTTCTTTTTTTTTCTTCAAATTTTCTTTAATTTTCTTTAATTGTATTTAATATCAAACGTTTTGTTGTAACGCTAAATTAAACCTATGTCGTATCACAAAATAGCTTACAGAGAGCAGTCATCGTGTTCGGCTGACACTCCGACCCAGCTGTGGGTGTCAATAGGCCGTTGTTATAGGAATGGAATAAGGGTAATACCTAGGTATTAGGTGCAGACGAAGTGCAAGACATTAGCACTCTAACATGTAGAAGACTAAAGTAGGTAAGTGAAAATGGAAGAACAAAGACTTAACTTAATACAGTGAGCCGGACAGCTACAACCGAGTATTAAGATTGATGAATGACAAAAAGAACTGGAATCGACTGACTACGATGGCCAGATCCTTTGGATTTAAATAGTAATTCGGACGATTGTTAATTTTTCAATTACCATTAATCGTCAATTCATCAGTCTTTAGAAGCGAATGTTCTGTCTATGTTTAATTTTTTAAATATTAATGTAAAATAATCTAATACAATGTTATTTTAGTAATTTTAGAGCTTCACTTATTGATTTAACATAAATAAAAACACTAATTTATGTAACAGAAAAAAAGTAGACGGTTTATTGTTAAAACACTAAGAAAATTTATATAAAAATTATATTAATGCACTACGTGTACTTAACTATTTAACCGATTAACTGACGACTAGCTAACTAACTGATTGTCGTTATTATTACGTCTGGACGTTTTATATTGTGTTGAGTTCTAGAAGATTCTCTTACGGAGCGATCGAGAACATTCGTGCGTATATGCATTTTGTGTTGCCTATCAGTCGCGAAAATTTTCGATCATTCCATAGTCACTACAGTAATATTCCAAGTAAAATATTAAAATAACCTGTTGAAAACTTTCCATAATATAACATTATTATAATTATGTCATTCTAATAATTTATTTTTCAAGGACAACGAATGAAATAATAATGTTACTACAACATGAATTAATGTTTTGGTAATCTAGAGTTGTTATCATATAAAATTTATTGTTATTTATTTTTACTGTTATAAAAATGTTTATTTATAGATAAGCAAAAAAAAAAAATGTATTTTAATTATTTAAGTGTATTTCCTATCTATTAGTTATTTTATTGAGTTAGAAGTTAACAAAGATATATCAGCCCTAGTCGGTTTATTCACTAAAAAACTAAAAATAGGCATTAAAATAAATTGTTGGTGATATTGTATCACCAACGATCGAAGATTAGGTGGTATTGGCTAAGAATTAAATGTCAGGCGCGAATAACTATAACATATCATTTTTCATATCATTGCAATCTGATTTATTAACTTTTGCGATCCTTAAACAATGGTTAACTAAAATAGTTTTACCGTGTCTGTCTGGCACTCTTAATAAATCCCTTTTGTGCACAATGAAACTTATTAAATTGGCGTATATCAGCATTAGGAAAAGGATCATCTCATATGTCAGCCCAAAAGTTTCCACCGCTTCGACAAAATATTCAGCCGTAGAACGTTAGTGTCTAGCCATTGTATGGGACGTAGATCGCTTTCGGCTATACGTAGTCGGAAATTTATTTTGCTCTCAAACAAAGCTGCATGTTACGGTCATCAAGCATGACTCCTCGAGAGGTAATCTTAACAATCATTGTCTATTACCAGATGATTGACAACCGAAGTAAAGGGAAGCCCTTCCGTTCCGTCCATCTCGTCAACTAACTGCCGAAACAGTAGCGCTAATACGTCAACAGGTGCGCAGACTAATGCGCCAGGCAGCTGTTCTATAGTAGAGTCTTTCGATAGTATGCCGGGCAATTGGACTATGAATCGGGTGCGACGAGGCGAAATGTGGGAGCTGCGGAGCCAACCATTCCTATGGGGAGCATTCGAACGAAGCCTGAGCAATGTACCGGAACCGAAGACAACCAGAAACGGAGAGATCATCCTACAGGACCCCAGGCACACGGCTCCCTCCCGTTAGCCATCCAAGGCAACAGGCGCAGAAGCATCTAGATCATACTCAAAATATATAATCATTAATATTTGATCACTTTAAACTCCATCAAAACGGATATTTTGCAAATTTTACTTTTTTTCTTAATTATAATTAAAATACTAGACAATTCAGTAAAATTAATAAATACTTTTTTTAGTAAATAATATATTCTTGAAAATAATTTCAGCTACTTGCGTTCGACTTCAATTGATCCTATCAATATCCAACGTTATCATCAGCCAGTTCAATAAGCCGATAAGTATAATGCTAGTTCGTCTTCTTTCTAAGACTTACTTACATTTATAATTTATTATTTGTTTATATCAGTGCTATTGTGGCCTTAGTATTAAGTGTCCCCCTATCCACATTGATGTATATAAAATTTTATGATTCATATATAATACATTAAATATAATAATTATATATTGTAAATTTCATTCTACATTCATTCATACAGTCCACTCACCTTATTCCTTATCCTTGTCATCCCGACTTAAGACAAAATAAAACCACGAACCCGCACGAATATCACTGGACGCTGCGTTTATTTAGATGTTGCAATTGAATTATTCAGAACTTAGTTAATTTTAATGATTTACTTTAACTAAATGAACCAATCAAAACAAAGTTGTTAAAGAGATTTACCCAATAATGCGTATTATAAAATTTGATTATAATGTTAAAAATCCATTGTCAATTCAGGAGAAACTAACAATCATTTTTTTTAGTAATGATTTATATAGTAACATGTTACCAACAAATTTGAAATATTATAGTTAAGTAGTAGCACACATAAATAGAGTAAAAAAATTATTTTTTTACAAAGTAAAATGATTTAATTTTGTATATCAATATATCAAATTATCATATAAAACTTGATTTGTCAATAAATATTTTGAAAACATTAGAAATGAATGATTTTAATTGTCTGTATGGAGAACATGGGATAAGTAACTGTTTAATTGATAAATTAGAATTTTTTTTCAATTTTTGAGAGTAATATCATTAACTAGATACGAATTAAGTAGGTCAAGTTAGAGTATTTCCATTTATGAAAGCAAAGTTGACATCCTTATAAGATGTAACTTATAAAAGGAATAATCCTTAAAACTACATAAAAATTGATAAATCAAGAAATAAGGTAACTAAAAAAATTCATATATTTATAGTTGACATTGTTTTTATTTTAAAAGTAAATAAGTTATTTATGATAAACGATTCATTTTGTATATATTTATAAAGCATTCTCATAAGAAGTTATAAAGCAATATCAACAGTTCTCCATTAATCAGTTACATCTTCAACTATAAAATATTGTGTTCCTTCATCATATAAATAAATACATTTTTCTTGATTTATTTCAGAAAAATTTTCTTTATGAAATTCTTTTGGTAAGTATAACCATAGCTCCCATACTTTTACATATATATAAATGCATGTTTCAATAACAAAACTTGTAACTAACATTTTGACTGTATCTACGTAAAAAATAAATAATAATTATTATTATTATTATTGGGGAAATTTATTGATTTTAGTGAATTTCCAAAATTGTTGACTTTTTGTACATAATAGTAGACTTGGGCATGATTATTACTAGCTACAAAAGTATATTTTAGCCAGACTTTCTTAAGTAAGTTAACTTAACTTCTATATTATAGAAGTTAAGTTAAATTTTTTAAACGTTAATATAGAATCTATATTTACGTTTAAAAAATTATCAGGCTTCTTTGAAGTACTATGCATCAATTTAAAATCAAATTTTTGCTAAAATTAAATTTATATCAGGATTCTAATTATAAAATTAGTTCTTGTACCCCATCGACTCGGGATTGATTCTCATGTATCCTCTAAATTTGTAGCACCATTTCTATGAACAGCTCTTTAAAAAAAATTCTTCTTCTTTTTCCCGTCTTAATTATAACTACTTGGGGTCGGCCACCCTTATCCTAAACTTCCACTTGACACGATCACCCACATCATCTACGCTCACAGCAGCTGTCCTCATATTGTATACAATAGCATTCCTCCATTTTTTTTTTTTTTTTTTTTNGTATACAATAGCATTCCTCCATTTTTTTTTTTTTTTTTGGTCATCCTCAGCCTTATCTTCTTTCAATATTCATTTCTATAACTGTTCTTACAGATTCCGATACTTTTCTCTTCATAAAATGACCAAACCATCTAAGTTTATTTTCTCTCATCTTATCCACGATTGACGCTACACCTATACTTCCTTTTATATACTCGTTCCTTATTCTATCTTTTATAGTCACTTCACTCATCCATCTAAGCATTCTCATCTCTACTGCACTAATTATCTGTTCTACTTTCTTATCAACCACTCAACCTTGTGAACCATACACCATAGCTGATTTCACTACAGTCTTGTAGAATTTACCTTTCAGTCTCATTGGAATTATTTTATCGCATTATTAAATCCCGTGTCTTACATCCTCGTCAATACCACCGTTCTTTGGAACAACTGATCCTATATACTTAAAACTTTCCACCTCTCCAATCACGTCCTCGCCTATTGTCCTTGATTTCTGTTTTTAATTACTGTTAGTATTTTTATTGATCAGTTCACAAAAATGTTGCAACAAGTTTTGAGGTTATGTGCGAATCAATCGCTAGAGGACAAGCTAAAAGGACTAACGACTTACAAGTAATCTGTATGCATTTAAAATTTTATAAAAAGTCAACATAGAAGTTAGCTACTTAAGAAATTCTTGTTATAATATACTCTTATAATACTGAGAAATGGTCATATCCAAGTATATTAAAGATATCACGTAACCATAGTTAAAACGTTGTATGTTTGATTATATCTCAAAAATAGCGACAGAAAAAATATTTAATTTTCTAGTAAACAAATATTTTATTTTTAAATATTAAAAGAAAATTAATAGAAATAAAAGAATACCAGTTTTTCTACTACACAATCTGAAAAATTCATTTACGTGGAATTCATCTCCTAGGAGTTTAACAATATAATAGCTGTGAAGTATAGACTGTAACATAAATTTAAAAATTTAAAAATTAATGGAAATAAGTACACATTGTGATTTTCACCGGCTTCTTACCGAAAGGCTTTCACCAATGAAGGCTCATCAACCAAACAAAGTTGGATCTACACTAGCCAAGGTTCTACCAAACCGAACCATGGTGGAATTTAAAATGTAAATGACACATCTATCATTCAATTTACTAAGTTTTTACCTTAACTTTAGAGGAAAAGAAGTTAAAAGACTGGTAAACTAGTATTATGGGCGGTGATGTTCTATTTTAACTGATTACAAATTTAAATTTAAATCAAATGATTATACCCAAATGTACAATAAAATAATGTCATTTACAAATTATAAATGTTCAAATAAATTAAAGATTACAGATTTTGTTATATAACATATTTCTAGTCATGTTCAAAACTATTAAAATTATTAACATTATAAAATAAAATAAGAAAAAAAGAGGTGTGAGTAAGAAAAAATACCTTCTAACACTGCTGCATTTGATATTTATGATTGGACCAAAGGTTAAGAGGGTATTTAGTAGTATTTACTAGAATAAAATGGTTATCATTGCAATTACGCTCAAACGATCAATTTGACATCGGTCTATATAGATGTAGGCCTTTTATATCGAGCTTAGAGGCTGCTAAGTACATCTACATTGGTCAATACATGCGTGGTTTTTTGACAATCGACATGACAAAATACTTAATATATGAATGTACAAAAAATGATATTTTACAGTAAACATTTTACTATATATTATTGTCATTAAACTTCATGTTCAAAGAAACCTCGTGACAATGCAAGAGTATAGGAATAACTAATTGGCGAAATAAAGAATGAAAAGAATGTTGTACAAAGTTACCAAAATTCTAATACAATTATGTCTAGGCCGTAGCCAACAAACGAAGCTTAACCCATGGCTCGATTGCCAGGATCAAAAGTAAAGATTATGCAGCCACGAGAACGTAAGTGTCCAGAAATGAAAAAACTTTAGATGGCTGGAGAGACACTTTCGACGACCAGGCCAACGACGATATACATTGAACTGGAAAGGGAAAAACATTAAAAGACTAATCCAAACATAAAATGCATGAGGAAAAGAAACAACTAAAAATTTTATTAAATGATTACTAAACATTAGTGATTTTATACATGATAAAGATGTTTGGATTGAACACTACAAACTATAAGTCGCTTACCTCGGCATTTGTAACTATTTATAAGCAGACTGTATGAAAAAGAGGGACAAGATATTTTTAAAATAATATGATATAAAAATCTCTTTGGTTCGATATTGTTTTACGCTTATTTTAAAAATTATTTTTAACTTTTTAGTTTGATATGTTTTAAAAGCGTGTTTTTTAGTTTTTTTAAACTATTTTATTTTTCACTTTTTAGTTTCATGTTATGATAGTAATTACTATCAATATCATGGTTGTAACGGGTAAGGAAATCCGGAGAGAGAGTCTGAAAAACGGCTACCACATCCAAGGAAAGCAGTAGGCGCGCAACGTGGATGTAGTAACGAAAAATGACGATACAGGAATCATCCTTTGTAATCGGAATGAATACACTCTATATCTCTTAATGAGAATAAAGCGTATTAAAATATAAGTTTTAATAGTAATTAGAATATATATATATATACATGTAAAGCGACTTAAGTAAGTAAACGTATCATGCACGAGGTAAAGTCGTGTTTTGTGGGCGGGCGTGGCGGGGGGAACGTTATACACGAGGCATATACGGTGGCAGCGGCGTCGGCTGTAGGGATGTATAAATTAATATTAACATATACATATATATAAATATTAATATATATATATTATATATTATTATTAGCGGCGGCGATAAGAATATATAATCTTCGCATAATATCGCGGCACTTTCGCTAGCGTCGACGAAGCGGTGTCCGGCGTGATCCTCGGGCGTCAAAAGGTTAGCAACGTTGATGAGGACGGTGCGCCAGTTTAGATCGGTTTGTTGACGTTGACACTTTGACAACGGGAAGAAGATTACGGTATCATTTGCGGCGGGACGTCGTCGGCCGTGCGGCACTTGCTGGACTTTGAACCGCGGCGTATAACGCGTGGTATTGGTCAGTCAAATACTCATAAAATAGGGCGATGGCTGATAAAGGTGGCACGAGTCGTAGGGCATCGTGAATAACGAAGCGACGCGGGGCCGTGTCAATCACAATAAAAATTTGTTATATACATATATATATACATATATATAATGCACTCATATACGGGTACGAAAACCAAAAATATAATTATACAGGAAATGTAGGTGTTATCGGTGATGGTGAGCGGGGTGCGGTAAATGCGTTTCGACAGTCTAGTCTCAAAGTCATACACGACGGGATACGCGACATAATAATACATGCCGCGCGGAGTTACAAACTTACAACAAACATACATGTGAAATTAATATAAGTATATATAATATAACTAATAAAAATTGGTGGATTATTCCAAAAGCTACATGATCTGCTAGTTTCTTATTAATATCCAGATTAAGATAAAGTATGTCGAATGAAAAAGGGATTATTAAAAAAATATTATTTCTCATAAAAAAATTGTGTTAATCCATACACTTTTCAATAAGTTATAGCATAATAAAGTTAAAACTTTAAAATACAAAATCGAAAATGTTCACACAAAAATAACATTTGGTAGCCATTTTCACCGTGAAGCTAAAATACAGTCCGAAATTTTTTTTTTCCGTAATAAAGTATATTACATAAGTTTTAATTTCAGATATATATATAAAAGTGTCAGACTTTCCGAAACACTTTCAAAAGTTAAGTTGAAAAAAGTAATTTTTTGTGAAAAAGTTGTCATTTTGAATCCCCCCTGTAGGCTGGTAAAGCGTTAAATTTATAAAAACAATATACCAAATGATAGGTAAAGACATCAAACATCCATAAAAAAACAATTATATTGATTTGTCCATTTTTGAAAAGATTATGGTAGTTTTAAGTTAAAAAAATTGAAAAAATTCGAAAATTAGCGATTTTTTAATTTGTAATTTTTTTGAAGGTTCCCCTATTTACGGGGAACGAGGGAAATTTTTTCAATTTTTGAGCGTAATGTCTTCGACTAGAAACGATTTGTGATCTTTTGACGTATCATTGAAAGAAATCGGTTCAGTGAGAGCTGAGGAAAAGTGATAACAGTCACAAAAAAAAAAAAATAAAATACATCATAGTAAAATTAATACCTTCTCAGCTTCGCATCAAAGCTAATATGTATAAAAATATATGTTTTTAATAAATAATCAACTTTTCCTGTTTGGCACAATAAGAACGAATAACATAAACTATGATTCAAAAACTGTAACTGTATAAAAATAAACTACAAAGGTTCAGCACTAATAAATATTCTTTTAACACATAACAATAAAGATTAAATTATACGAGCAACAACGGACAACTAGGCACTAATAATAAATTGTACTAGAAAAGAAAGCAAGGACTAAATAATTCAAATATTTGGGTGTAAATAGGTACTTTGGTGAAATAGTAACTGTGAGCCACAATAACTAGCAATATAAAGGGGATGTTGCTTATTTAGAACCAATAGTAAACAAAACAAAACATAATAGTTAACTTAGTGCACAAGATAAATAATTAAGTGCCGACTTGGTGAACACTTAATAGTGAAATTTATGTGCCAACTTAGCTCATAACAAATAATAAATAATACATAATAAATCACAATAACAGGGCTTCTCAATAATTATAATTATAATTATAAACGTATTTGAAATTAAAACTTAACAAAAATTATCACACAGGTCAAATACAAACTGATCACATATAAAACTTTAGTATAAGCTTATTGCCTTAACCTCATTTTTTCAATTGGAGTGAACAGAAGGGAGGAAGAGTGTAGTCCGACGATGTAAGTTAGACTGCGATTAGGTACCGGATCTGCGGCTAAAGTAATTGGTGTTAAAAAGATAATATCTTATTTATATTAATGATTAATATGGCTTGATTATGATTATGGCATATATTTATATTATATAATTACTTCAAAAACTTTATTACGTAAAATTTCGTAATTTTCTTGTGTCCCACTAAATAAAAGAGATATAATTCTAAAAAAATCGTTTATATCCTTAGTAACTTCTATTTCTTTATTGTATTTCGGAGATTTTAACATTTTATTTGATTGTTGGACGTTGTATGGTTGTCCTGTTTGAAATCCTAATTTCTTACTTATATGTTCTCGCCACTCTGAATTAACTGGTTGAAAACGGTGATCAGCAATAATATACTTAATAGACGAAAGCCATGTATCTTTTTCTACATACAAACGTGTTACATATGCCACCAAATTCTATAATATCAAATATAAGTGAATTACAGATTTAATTTAAACATAAATATAAAAAGAGACTTCTTTAGAATCATATATATGTTCTTATTAATCATTTTTTTCTAGTTCAATATATTATATTTTAGTATTAATAAAAAGTATGATATGGAATTTATTTTAAGCGTGTTTTATAAAACTATACTTAAATAAAACCTTAAAATCATTTTAAAATATATAAGATGTCCTACGAGGTTTTTTTGAGGATCTCGTACGAGATTCTGTATATTTATTTTAGTATTTAAAGAAAGAACTAAATCACTAATGTTATGAATTTATATGAAAATATATTCAAAAGACATATAAAGATCTTTTAACAAAATAAATAACTCTTAATAAAAAAGTATTAGCAATGAATATAATAATAGACTTTAAGTTTATATGGTTTACATTTAAATGTTTTTTTGAGTCAGAGTTTTTAAAGTTTAGATCCTTTCTTATTAAAATTAAAAATAATATAATTTTTATATAATATCCATTACAATTGGAAACGTTTTGTTTTTGTGACAAACTAAGCAACTTAATCATTGATTTTTTATTTTTATTATTATTTTGTAGTAATTTTACAGCGATTAGTTACCTAGTAATAATCAAAGAACCATAACTCAAATTTATCCATAACATTATCGAAATGAAAATAAAAAAAGTTTCTTGATAAGTTAAATTGATTCGGTTAGAAAAATTAGAAGCAATATTATTATATAGACAAAAATAATAATTTTTTTTAATTATTTATAATTGGAGAGTATTCTTATTAATACTGCATAATAAAATTGTTTGTATAACAATGTGATCTTTTTTTTTTCATATATCTATTTAAAAAAATTATAATAAAGAAGATATGTATTTTTACTTATTTTTATTAATGAAACGTTTCAAAATCCTTGCTAGGTAATTTAATAATAGTTTTATTTTTAATATGGTTTATTTAAGAATATATAACAAAATAAATTTTAAATGTTTATATTTCTTAAAGATAAGTCCTATTTCATTATAATTAATTATTAATTATATAATTATAATTAATTTTTACACTTACATTCGATGGTGAATTTGTGCTATCTAAAGCATTTTGATCCTAAAAATAATTATGCAATCAATAATTTATCGGAGGCTTTAATTATTTAAGTCTATCCTATAACTGCATTTTACTCAAAAATTATTAATAAATAAAAGGAAAAATATGAAAAATTTGACAAAATTATAATGACTAAAATTATTTCATTCAATCATTATTTATCTTGTATAAATAAATTAAATTATAAAAATATTTAACAAAAAATAATTAATAAAGAATAAGATATTCATAACCTTATAACCAGCAACGCTAAAATTATCCATAGCTCATAAAAAATAAATTTATAAAAGAAAAAGAGGCTCAATACATTATATTAAACAAATAAAAGAAAAAACAACAATACGATATCTAGTCCCGGATGGGACTCATCCTAAGATGGGGATCTCGGCCCCGGAAATGGCCGACGCCTTGTTGAATTAGTGCATTATTAAAAGAACGACACTCACAAAAAAACTATAATTGGCTGCACGCACACAGCAAAACAGACCACAACGGTGGTTCAAAGGGAAGAGAGTGAAAAAAAAATTCTTACACACCGGGCGAGACACAACGACGACGAACCCGTTTGGGAGAGGGTATCGGCTTAACGATTTACAAAATATACAATAGATAAAATTATGAACAATATTAGAATTATACAGGTATGGACAGTGGTGGCCAGTGTATGTGTCATATAGGGAACGATTGTTAAACTGATAAAGAATATTGTGTGTATAGCGTTCACCTTGACAGCAACAGTACAGTTTTCTGATTACACGGCCGGATATAACGTACGCGCGCCCATTAGCAAAGCAAAACANAGAACGTACACGCGCCCATTAGCAAAGCAAAACAGTAATCTATATATATCATAAAATTCACATTTTGTCACGTTACAGAAACCCCCCTGAGAAGATTTGACGTAAAACGACAAAACTTCTCAAGAGATTGAACTGACCAAAATGGAATTCAAAAGAAAAGACAAAAAAAAATTTTATGATGCAGACTTATTGATTAGGATCTCTGTACTTCCGCAAAAAGATTATATTATATGTTCCCTTAATCTTCCCATTATCAGGATCTTGGAGGACATATGAATTAGTATTTTTGACATCTACAATAATATATGGACCATCATATAACATAAAAAATTTACTGATTATTTTGTCAGCACCTGAACTTAATTTGTGTGATCGCACCAACACAGTATCTCCGATATTAAAAAGAGTGTGTGGACCTATGCGGTCATGACGTTGTTTTCGAGCAAATGCTTTGCTCTTTTGAGATTCACGTGCTATCTCAAACTTTGTTTCGAGCGGAATATCACTACCTGGTGGAAAATCTACTATAGTTTGAATCAATGACTGATGTTTCTCCGGACAGAAAAGTTCAATTGGACTAAAACTAGTGGACTCGTGAATGGTATTATTCAAAACCCACTCGATATAGGAAACGTAGCGAGGCCATTCAGCATGATACTCAGAACAATAAGTACGAAACAAACGTCCTAGTTCTCTCATCACCCGTTCGGTTGGATTTGACTGTGGGTGATAAACACTAGTCAATGTAGGTNGCTTGATAAACACTAGTCAATATAGGTGGAATTCCAAGCATCGATAACTTAGACTGCCAAACTTTACTAATAAATTGTTTGCCATGATCAGATACTTTTCAGTAGCTTTTTTTAATGGATATAACTGAACAAACCGAGAAAAGTGATCCATTACCACAAACAAATAAGATACTCCATTCCAACCAGCAGGCAATGGTCCATACAAATCAACAAACACACAATCATTTGGAGCATTGTATTGAATATTTTTCATAAGTCCTTCGACTCGACAAGTTTGAGGCTTTGCTCGTTGACACAAATCACAAGAAGACAATAATCGCTTAACAATGCGGTCCATATTATTAAATATACAAAACTGCTTCAACACACCAACACATTTCTTTGGACCAACATGACCATATAATTCATGGAAATTGATAATTGTAGAATTAATATTTGACATAGNACATTGATTATTATAATTGATAATTGTAGAATTAATATTTGACATAGGTAAGCATATTAACCAATTTCATAATATGATTGTTGTTTGGGAATGTACAATTACATAATAGCGTTTAGTTGGGCTTAAACAATTCAGTGTCAAATCAATTATCTACTCTATCGCTTGTATATTAATATACACTACACTTCTACGATACAATAAATAAATAAACTCACACATACACACATATGCATTTATAACATTGTGTCTAATGTAAGTATAACTTGATAAAATAACATATAACATGATACTTAACTAAACGCTAAATTGTACATTCCCAAACAACAATCATATTATGTCAATTGCCACCGGAATTTTTTTTTTCTCTGCCTTAATCCCAACTATTTGGGATCGGCCACCCTTATCCTAAGGTTCCACTTGACACGATCTCCCTCATCTTCTATGCTCACATCAGCTGTCCTCATGTCGCATTCAACAACATCCCTCAATCTCCTTTTTGGCCTTCCTCTACCTCTTCTTGCTTCAAAATTCATTTCTATTACTGTTCTTACAGCTTCCCGTTCTTCTCTCTTCATAACATGACTAAACAATCTAAGTCTATTTTCTGTCATCTTATCCACGATTGACGCAACACCTAAACTTCCTCTTATATGCTCGTTCCTTATCCTATCTTCTCTAGTCACTCCACTCATCCAACTAAACATTCTCATCTCTGCTACACTTATTCTCTGCTCTACTTTCTTATCAACCGCCCAACACTATTAACCATACATCATAGCTGGCCTCACNTAAACCATACATCATAACTGGCCTCACAATTTCATACTAAATTTAATAATTGTAATTAGTATTTATTCATATATACATTTTAAAATCAAAGAACAACTAATCAGGATATAATTAAAGAAATAAGAGTTGATGTTGCTTTTGGAATAATCCACCAATTACTCTAAATGAAACACTATCTACAGATTTGTATCGAAGCGTTTTTTATGATAATGATTTTAATCACTGTCGGATATTATCTATACTTGTCCCATCTATGCCTCGTCCACACTGTGTCTCGACCCCACTGTGCTACCGTTTTTTTACCTAATAACATAGAAATTAATTACGTATATCATAAGATACCTTAAATTCCAAGATATAAATCTTTTTTAGGGGGAGGAAATGTGGTCCCAACATTTTGTCATAGTTTATAGTCAAAATAAATAATTTTGAATAAAAATGTAAAGAGATTGGTACATATTGACTCCTTTCTTAATACACCAATGCAGTTTACATTAATTTTTTTTGCAAAAGTTTTTATATAACTATAAATCGATTTTTTTTTTAATTTTCCAATTTTTATTAAAAAATAGTACGTTTTTCTTTAATTCTGAAGCTCGTTTTCACCACGATAATAAAAGTGTGATAAAATTTTTTTAAAAAAGCATATTATATAGGTTCTTATTTAAGATATAAATAAAGTGTCAGTATAGTGTTTCCGGAACATTTTTAAAAGTTAAGTTGAAAAAGTTCTACTTTAATACGCGTTATTAAAGTTATATTTATTTTTTGTAGTTTTGTTTAAAAATGCAATTGTACAATAATTTAGACTAATAAAAGATCTTGTACTAAGTTTAATTAATGAACTACGTCCATAATGGCTAAGTATTTATCCCTTCATCCCAAGCGTGTAAAACATAAGTATTACCAACTCGATGGTGTCGGATGAAAAAATTTTGTTATTTAAGCTAGTTCAAATTTCAAAGTTATTTTTCTCGACTTAAAAGAAGCAAACAAATTTAAATAAGTTTAACTTTCCCTGATATATTAATTTTAATTTATATAATATTTATGAAAATCTATACTTCCCTTGTCAGGTATTTTAAAATAAAATGATATACAAAACCCAGAATTTTAACACAAAAATAGCAAATTTTTGAATACGGTAGTCATTTTTACCATGAAGACAAATCCAGAGGTCAATTTTTTTTCAAATTAAAGTATATAACATAAACTTTAATTTAAGATATATATAAAAGTGTCAGTATTTCCGGAATACTTTCAAAAATTAAATTGAAAATAACTTAGTAACAATACGCATGTTTAAAGTTTTGACCCCCTTTGTTAAAGAGATATGATCCGATTTACAAAAAAAGCGTGCCAGATGAAAGCAGTATATAAATAATTATTATAAGAAAATAATAATATTGATCCATACATTTTTCCAAAAGTTATATAAAATATAAATTAAATAATATAACATATAAAATCGAGAATTTTTTCACGGAAATCGTACGTTTTTCTTTAACTTTGATGTCCGTTTTCACCACGAAGACAAGTCCAGAGGTCAAATTTTTTTTTTCAAATTAAAGTATATTACATAAGCTTTAATTTAAGATATATATAAAAGTGTCAGTCTTTCCGGAACATTTTCAAAAGTTAAGTTGAAAAAGTTCTACACTCTATACGCATTTTAAAAGGTTTGCACCCCCCCCCAGTATAAAGGGAAAAAGTCCGATTTAAAAAAAAAGTATGTCGAATGAAAGAGGTATACAGGGTGTTTAGTAAGTCAGAAAACGGGTTTCTATTGTTCTCATTGTTCAAACAATGAGAACAATAGAAACCCGTTTCCTGACTTACTGAACACTCTGTATATAAAGTATTTATTGTTAAAGAATAGAATTGATTCATGCATTTTTTAAAAAGTTATAGCCTCATAATGTTAAAAAATGGAAAATATAATATCAAGAATTTTTTCAAAAAAATAGCATATTTTTGCATACGGTAGTCATTTTCACCATGAAGACAAGTCCAGAGGTCAAATTTTTTTTTTTCAAATTAAAGTATATTACATTATCTTTAATTTAAGATATATATAAAAGTATCAGTCTTTCCGGAACATTTTCAAAAGTTAAGTTGAAAAAGTTAATTTTTTGTAAAAAAAAATACCATTTTGAAACCTATCCTGTGGGCTGTTAAAGAGTCAAATGTTCATAAAAATATATAAAATGATAGGTAAATATCTAAGATATTTATAAAAAAAAAAAATATATTGATTCGATCTTTTTTAAAAAAGTTATGGCACTTTTAAGTAAAAAAAATTGAAAAAATATCGAAAATTAGCGAATTTTAAATTTGTAATTTTTTGGGGGATTTCCCCTGTTGACGCAGAACGAGGGAATATTTTTCAATTTTTAAGGGTAATGTCTACAATTTGATATGATTTGTGATCTTTTGGCATATTTTTCATCAAAATCGGTTCAGTGAGAGCTGAGATTGAACGTTCACAGACACAAAAAAAAAATAAAATAAAAACACATCATAGTGAAATCAATACCTTCTCAGCTTCGCATCGAAGCTAAAAAATATTATATGAATATTGCTTACACAACTTAGCCTACAAATAATTCATATATTCTAAAATATCACTCACATGGTATTGAAATGTTGAGTCTTCGTTGTTAAATGGTATTGATAATTCGGATGGAAGCCTTGAATATGAGTTAGATGAAAAAAGCTGTAACATACCAAATTTAGTCTGTATTATTAGTATTTTATAGTTATTATAATTTTATTTTTATAGTTAAATATTTATCTATATTTTTTAGTAAATTGTGGTTATTGAAATATAGATGAATTCAAAAATGAAATTTGACATTAATAATACCGTATTTGGTTTGGGTTCACCTAATGCTAAAATATTTGTGGGTTATTTAACAATTTTTTTTAATTACAGGGAAAACCATGGAGAACATAGTTTTTTATCATAAAAAAGTTAGATTTTTTTAAACTATTTAATCTGAACACTATCATACTTGGAATAAAATATTAAACTTTTAGGATTTTTTTTTTTAAACGAATAAGCGTTTTCCGAAAAATGAAATGAAAATTAATTAGTAAAAATAAATAAAATCAGTTATAACGTAAGACTTTTATATGATTTTTACTGTATGTAGTGTTTTTGTGGGTTATTTATTAAAAAAAAACAACCCAGCACAGGGGGGTCGCGGCACAGTGGTGACGTGGCATAGTTGGATCAAGTATAATGATATCTGACAGTGATTAAAATCACTATCAAAAAAAAACGCTTCGATGCAAATCTTTAGATAGTGTTTAATTTTAAAAAATTGGTGGATTATTCCAAAAGCTTCATAAACTGCTAGTTCCTTATTAATATCCTGATTAAGA